GGTGTCTGACTTACATTTTGTTCACTTAAAGCGCTCAGGCACTGAGGATGTGATCTGTCACACCTCAGAATGGATGCTTCAAAGGATGTTTTGAATTTCAGGTCAGGATATTGAACTAAATGCATAGTGAGGGAAAAATTAGCATATACGCTACATCTGTTCGACAATTACAAAACTACAAAAATGCTCTTGACTGTATAATTATGTTTGAAGCACATTAGGTGTCTTTGTTCAGAAATTTGTCAGAGCTGTTTCCAACTGTGTTATAGTAAAGCTCCTGCAGTCAAAGCTACACCAGGAGATATTTTTCAGTTATAACTGCACTGATTGATTTGCCAGTAGAGAAGCACGTAACTTTGGTGTCCATCTCAAGTTAACACCTGCCTGCTATCTTGAATGGGTTCTAACTACACATCTAAAAAAAGCAATACTCTGTGCTTAGTCTTCATCTTATTGTTAGTTTCTTCACTGGATGCTTATCACTGGGATAGAAAATCACAAGGATATGGTACATCTGCTCTGATGTTGCCAATCAAAAAACTGAAATGTCCTGAGAGCAGGGATTGGTTTATCACCTAATTTCATTCTGTCATTTCCAGAAAGATCAAACTGTGCGCTCTCAGTGTTTTGGATGAAAAATGAATGAGCTTCATTGCCTTGTTGACTACCTTTGACAGCGGCCCATAAATCAATCGACGGGAGGCTTCTCTGATTACGAGGAGACTCCAAGAGGGTTGGATCAAAATCATCTGAGTGTTTGGAACATACCTGTCATGTATAGTCTACTTTGTTACATTGAAACCACCTAAATGCTAATAAATGACCAATTAAAGCATGTACAGTTGACTATGTTGTTATCCAAATTCAGTGAGACACAAATACTTAATGGAGACACAAGAATTTATAATAGAGATATAATTTTGCTGCCAGTATTCTGAATACTATATTATAACTTATTTTCAAACCTTGAGTTTTAATTTAACTGTCAAAATTTGATAGTGAAGCAATAGGTTTGTTTCATATCCATTGTTTTCCAATGATAAAAATCTGAATTCTGTGGTAAGCTTCACTACCGTTGCTCAGATAGGCTGGTCCCAGAGGTAAAGTGTAACTTTTCCAGCTCTCTTTGCCTGATGTAATCTGTAGTGGTCTGACAGACATCTCTTTCTTCTTCCTTTAACCTGCTAAACTATATTTAGTATTCAGTGTTAATCGTAGATGCCAGCTTTGCTTTATCCGTAGTAGCTGAATTCCCAAGACCTTTTTTCGACATTCAAGAGTGGATAGAGATTTTAAAGTCAGGGAAAGTTTTTTTTTTTTTTTCCCAACCAAGTCTTACACCCCTTATCCTCTTAAATACGATTATATTTACATTACATTCATTTGACAGATCCCTAATGTTCAAAGCCATTTACATTGTTTCCCCCCAGAGAGAATTTAGGCAATTTGGTCTTCATTATCTTGCTTAAGGACATGTTGATATGTGGTCAGCAGGGGCTGGAGATCCTACCAGCTGAGCTACAGCTATTCAAGGTATCTAACCCTCCAGACATGCATTAGTTTATGGTTAAGTACACTTTGAAAATCAACTTACAGAGACTTGGGTGTACTTCAGTGCTTGCGTGAACTGCTCTGAACTGAGAGAAACTACGTCAGTTTGCATCAATCTTATTTCTCCTTTCCGCAAAATGATTGTTTGTGATCCAAGCTTTATTTTTCAGCACATGCTTGAGCTTGTGAACACACTAATAACCAACTAAAATCTTGAATGCCATCAGCTTCCCATCAGTATAACTGAATCCCCACGCAACAATATAACTTTTCACAAGTGGTTTTCAGGGTATACCAACAGAAGGCTAGCAGACTCTTTTTGTTTTTATGCTCTAGAAATGGTCATTCGAAACCTAAATCTGTGCTCTTCTTAGTGAATCATATATGAACCGTTGACTATATGAGGCCATAAGCAATTACTAGCTCAAAAAGTATCAAATTATCAGACGAGGCAGGGAGGTGTGCATGTCAATCAGAGGCCTGGTACCTCAGTGGGTAGCAGAAGATTACGGTTGGTTTCCAACTGAGGCCATCCATATTAATAATGCATGCACTTGCTGTTCTGAAAGGCAGTTTTAATGCTTTGACTAAATGGCGTGTATTAATGGTTTCAACTTCCATCACTGACTAATTACTGATGAAAAGCAGTTATTCATTTTAACAGTTGCCAGCCTTTGTCATTACGCTTATTTCTTATTATACGTGTTTATTCTGTAATTTATTGTGACTGATTTGATGTTTTTGTCCTCAAGTTAGAATAGTTAGAGTGTAAATGAGCAGCAGGAGGCATTAACTGCTGAGTGACATCTCTTTTATTACCCGAGAGAAGCCATGCTGATGGCAAGATCACCCAACTTGTTTTCTGAAATGGATGCAGCTGACAGGGGAGCTGTCTACAAACCCATATGAATTAAGGAAATTACCGTGGTCACACCATAGTCTCCTTGTTTCTCATAAAACCGAAAATGCCTCAAGACTCGGTGAAAAAAGATTATGATTGACTCTAAAGTTTAATCAAATTCTAATCCAGGATACATAGCTTTAAGCATACAAAAGTTGTTCTACCATCTCTGATTGTTTGACAAAAGGTTTATCTTTCCTTTCAGACGATTCTTTTCAGAGACTGAGATCACTGACACTATGGAGTGAAAGAGAAATGCGGTGGCATTTCATGACTAGGTTAGGCTTATGTTGTTGTCCAAAATCTGTCTTGCTAGAATAAATCATACTGATCTCAGAATTACAAGTTATTTTTATTCAAAGACCAATCTCTGTCCTGCCATGTTTTTCACAAACACACAAAAGACTGTTCCCAGACGGAGAGTGTTTTAGGAGAGCAAATGATTTCTTTTATGCATGTATTGATTCTATTTTAAAAGAAATTTTTCAGGTGTTATTCAGATGCTTGATCCAATTCAAAGTGCTTTAAAAAGTAAGAATGCTTGGGGTCTAGTCTAATTATGATACCCATGATGCTGTTAACCGTAATGTCTCTCTATTCCATTACGACTTCAGTAATCTCGTGTACAACTTGCTGTTCAGTTAAATTACAAATCAGAAAAAAGTATTTGAGTCAACATCTGTACACATGAAACATAGTGGGAGTTTCTTCTTGTGCCACCCAGGGGTCTGTTCTTGGTTTCTTCCTATTGTCTATCTGCCGCACATGCAGAATTCTGAATAAACTAACTTTATCTTTATCATCCCAAAAAAAAATTTAAAAATGTAAAAAAAAAATATGCCTCTTGTCATGTACTGATAAAATCAAGTTATTTCATATCCAATTCCTAACTTTTCAAAGTATTAAAATAACTTTCCTACACTGTATCATATTCTCAAGGTATAGCATGTAGCATTAAATATATTATTACCACCAAGCAACATGCCCTGAATCTTTAAATCATCAACTGAAGAATCGGTTTCACACGGCCTCAAATTGTATCCGTGAACATGTCATGTTATCCTCTGATGCCCAGCTCTGCAATAGTGTCTTTTGCAGAAGACGCTGAAACATCACCAGAAAAAAAAGCCATTTTGAAAGGATTATAGCTGGTCCCTGTGGCTGAGCCTTTTGTGGTGGGCTTTCCTGCCCTTATAGATGGCTAAACCTTCCAGCTTCAACTCAAATGCAGAGTAATTGCTTGTATGTGTCACAAGCGTCTCTCGAGCTCATTGCCCCAAAGTCAGATTCAGAGCAACATACGGTACTAAAACAGTACTGATAATTATTCCACAAAGATGTTTCGCAATGCAGAAATTTCTTATAATGGCCAACTTTGGCTTACAATTAGTGTTAAAATCTGAGGGATGTTGTTTAATGTCTGACCTTGCCAAAGTTCCCTAATTCCATTTCTTGCTTCTTGAACCTAGAGGAACAGTAATGCATTCCAAAGCAAATTGGTATTTCTTATACTTATTAATCATTAAGTCATTTTAAAAAGACAGATTATGCCTGTCCTTCTACCTAATGTTAATACCGGCTGATATAATTAGCACTCAAATCACTGTACGTGTGGGCTTCTTCATGATTATTTAACTGCTCTCAGGAAAATAAATCTGCACCTCGAGTGGAATTGTGGCTGAAATGATTTCATTTTTGCTCTGAGGATTGTAATTACCATTGACTGTGCTGCAGACTGTGTTTGCATTGATTAGCTGAGTATCTAAATACAGAGCGATCTGCCCGTCTGACTTTAATTATGGTATGAAATACTTGACACCTGACGAAAAAATGGCCACAAACAACTGAGCCCAGAAACAAGTTTTTCAGAATCAGAGCTGCTGTGCTGTGTGTGCTCCTCCTCTACCGTGACAATTCATCATACATGATTAATAGAGGTATTAATGTGCTATTATGGCCTGTGGTGGTGCTCTGTTCTAGACAAGAGGAAAAATAAGACCTTGTGTCAAATTTTGTGGTTTAATTTGCAAATGCTGAAAACTAGTTGCAGAAAGCAAAATAAAGGCAGGTACAATGCACATCTCAAGCATTTGTACCTTAAACCTATGGTTACTCAAAGATTTCCATTTATTTGCCTTCTGTAGTCAACTGTAAGTAAAGATTTGACATCTGGCATCTATGAGCAGACTGTAAACAGTATATAGAATCCATGTATTAGTTCCATCTCAACCAGCGTTGCTTTAAAATACAGCTTGAATTCTCATGCATAAGTGATATTTACTCAATAATAAAAGTTATTATCATAGTAGATGCTTTCACTTTTGATATTTAAATTGGTGTATTTTGCTGATGTCTTAACTTTGAATGCAGGACTTTTACGTGTAATGGAGTGCTGCATTGTGGTACTGGATTGCTGATCTGTGGGATTATTTAATATTTCTGCACCTATTACATAACATTCTACAATGACGATCTCACAAACAACGGGTGTGGCTTAAGCTCCAATCCACTCTTTATTGGCTCTCTCCCCATCCTTGACCCCACTGACCTTGTATGGCAGGACAACAGCGGAGCCTCCACTGATGCCCACGATGGGCACAGCTGTCTGAGTGGAAATGAAGTCCAAGATCTGCGCCACGGCCTCCGAACCAACGTTGTCTTCGAACACCACGCCATGGACGCGGTTGGTGGAGAGGGTGTCGCAGATACGGGTGAGCAGCGCCCGTGGGTTGGTGTTGTTGACCAGCACAGTGATGGGGTTCACCTCCAGCGGCAGGTCCATGAAGTTTTCCCGGCTTAAACGCCCCTTAATCTCCGTCTGGTAGGCCGAGCCGCTGAACACCACCGCCACGTTCACGGAGGGCGTGGGAATCCCAAACGGCCGGCCCGAACAGTAGGGGACAGTGCAGAACAGCAGCAGCAGCAGCGGCCACCACGGGGAGTCGCTCAAGCAGCCTAGACGAACGCCCATCTCAGTCACCTACTGCCTGGAGGAGGGGTCAGAGTCAAGGGAGGGGTCAACAGAGCGGATTGACATGTTAGATACCAAGACCAGCTCGTGTCTTTTTCTGAAATGTTGTGATAATACTCAGTAATCCCAGCTGCCCTGCCAACCAAACAGCCTTTTGTTTAGCGTTTTGATAACTGACCTTTTAGCTTCATCTCCGCTCAGCGTGCTGGTCTGCTCGCCATATCTAAGACAGTGTAAGAGCCCATTAACGGAGCCCAGAGTAGTATTTTTAGAGTGTGTCAGCGTGCAACATGAGGCTGTGGCCAAGCTGTTGCGTCTTAGGATGGCAGCTGCCACCCTGCTGCTGTTGTATTCAGCGCTCCAACCCAACAGATGGTGTCCAGTGTTTAATGCAACAAATGGAGAACAAGAGGATTTATAATTTTTCCCTCGTGACATTACTTTTGAAGCTGTTACTTAATTTTTCCAGCAGTCCAAGGCATTCCGACTTAATCTGCCAAAGGTCTGCATGCAGGCATGTGGCTCTGGTGATTAATTGACATCCATAGTGTCATTTATAATTTATAAGGTGTTCGGGAAAATTTTCCTTTTCTAGTTGCGAAACTGACATTTTAATTATTCAAACAGAAAAATGCATATTTGCGAGGGACTTGGAATACTCAAATTGGCCTTTGCTCTGATCCATGCTCTTTGTGCAACATTGCATCACTAATGGACTGGATTGCACCCAGTAACTCTTGGCCATACTGTCTTAATTACTTCCAAAACAGCTAATTGTTTTTCTTTCTGCCCTCTGGAAGGTAATGGAGGAGAAATGCCATGGCAGAACTCGACGATGTCAAACCCTGTAGTGTTAGTTTAACATTCACATTGTAGCCAGACAGTGGTTTGTGTTGAGCTGTCAGACAGACTTAGGCTCTTTGTCAAATCTGTCACAGTAGTGTTTGTGGCCCTGAGGGAATGCTGCACACTGGTCCCCTGTCACAGAGATCTGATCCACCATGTGATGGAATCCCAGTGGGGTGAATATATTGTAATCCCTTGGTAATCCGTACCAGGCGTCATGGCCTGCGGCTTGATTGTAGTGTATAAACTTATCAAGAGATTTGGCTACTGCACGAGGCACAGTGTGGCTGTGTGGTGCAGTTCTCTCTATGTTCTGCTTCCTGTGTGGGACTGAGCAGTGAGCTCCTCCTAGAAAACGCTGCCAAACAGGCAGGCAAACAGACAGGCAGGCTGTATGGGAGCAGGCATGCTTGGCTGGTACGTCTCTTGAATACTTATCAAGGAATTGTTTTTTTTCTAGTCAAGTCACATGCTGAAATCCAAATAAAAGACATCACACACGCGTGGGAAGCTGTATGTGCTGTGTCTTACATGTGATTCTCCTGGTAGGCGCTGCCTCATAAATCATTTTATAAATTGATTAGTCCCCACTGTGAGAGGGCACATCTCACATTCCTTTCAATGACATTAGTCATGTTTCAGCTGTGACAGCAGTAGAATAGTTTAGGGTTAATGTCGTTGACGGGGATCAATGTACGTGGTCAAAATACTTAAAGGCTCACACCTTCTATGTCTTTAATCAACACAGTGAAACAGCTGAGGTAGATATATGAAGGTCATATACAGAGGTAGCGCATATAGGATTAAACCAAACAGGGAACAGGTCATCAATAACTTTGTGACAAGGTTTTATAAGGTCAAGATCCTTTCACAAAGATCCACTTTGGCCAACAAGAGTATTACCATCTATGCCTTATCTAATGTTTCGATTTGGACGACAACGTCATCAAAGCTTCATGATGTAGCTGAATTGCAGATTGGCTCTGTAGATTTGCTGACCGCTGACTCCCGAAGCTCCGAAAGTCGACTGAATTTGTAAACTGCACCGATACATAAAGTAAAGAGGCTTTTCATCTGTCCTTGGGCTAAATCCTCCAAAAAACATTCCTGTGTATACAAGAGCTGGAGGCTTCACTCTGATGTTGAGGATCAAAAGTCACTGTGGACATCCATTGGTTTTAGAGGTTTAGATGGAGTATGGATGGATACACGACGAGGTGCATCTACCTGAATTATCACGACACACAGTCTGTTTGGCTCTGAAGCCTGCTTGTAGCAGATTTGAGGCGAATACTGTAGTTGGAGTCGTGAGAGGGAGACAGGTTGTTGCTTGTGTCATGACGCTGCTACAAACTGGATTCAGTGTGAGTCATGCTATACCTGGTGACCCAGTAAGTGGATCCAATCACCAGCAAAATCCTGTATTACTTGACTGCTTACGCATAAACACGCTGGTATGGTGCATTTGATGTAAGCTTCTTATGAAACTACTCTATTATTATGTAATAACGCCCATGTAGTAACAAAGCAGTTTTGCTGAACTGTAGTTCATTTCTTATTAGTTTGTATAGTAGTGGTTCAAAAGATCATCATAGACGTGCATTCTGTGTCATAGAATTATATTTAAACAGAAATAGTTCTGCTGAAGTCTGTATGACTCTTATCAGAATGTGACATTACAAAGTTTCAGCAGGAAAAATTAAAAAACCAAACATTAAAAAAAAAATAAAAATGCTGTGATTAATGTAGAGACAGCTGAAAAGCTAAAAGAAAGACCTGGAACGGTTAACACCTACAGGGAGGCGGCTCTGTTGTGCCGTGAAGGCATTTTGCTGATATGGTTTGTGTTCACTTGTTCCTTTAGAGGGAAGGGTCACTGCAAATCAATATAAAGTTGTTCTGAGTGATCACCTTTATCCTGTGATGGAACATTTCTGTCCTGATGGGAGTGGTCTAATCCAAGATGCCCCTATCCTTAGGGCACGATATTTTTTTGGAAGAATACTGCTCATCCTGCCAGTAGAGTTTCAGAGACTTGTCTAGGTGAAGTCACTCTAGCATGCAGCACATAGTGAGCTAATATTTTACAAAGACGCTTTATGTTCGTTCCTCCTTTACTTTGCCACCTCTCTGTACACCATGCAATGATAGTAACATACTTTAATGCACTGTGTAAGTCAGGTGAGTGTTAAAAAATGTGCAGTCAGGCTCAGGAATGTAACTGCCTGAAATATATGTATTTATAGGGATAAGCAGGTAGAGGTAGCAGGTAGTCCCTGAGCTCTCACGCTGTGGGAGGTTTGGGAGGTTAGTTTCCATTATGCGACTGTGTGAGCAGATATTTGTCTGTGTAGCATCATTAATACATGCGTGCACACACCTCTCAGTACTGTTTTGTATCATTGCCTCTCTTGCTCGGCTGTTGCCAAAGTCATTCAAGGGGATCATTGAAAAGTAATGTGAAGAAGTTGCTTCACAACAGCTCCGTTCAGCCAGTCTCTAATCTGATGAGAAACGAGCGTTAACAGGACTAAGTGTGCTGCCACATTTCAAAGTAAAACAAGCAGCAGTAGCGGCCCCACACAGACAGCCTCTGTATTCCCTGTCTTCTGTTAGTTAGTCTTTGAGTAACAAACATTTAAGATGTGCTTATCCCCCTCTAGTGGGTGACATATGGTGGAAGCAGTTTCTTTACAGAACAAGCTCAAGGAATGCAGACACAGGATTCATTCAGGATAGCTGTCGTGGCTTTATCATACTATGAGATTATTTCTTTTAGTATTTTTTCCCCCCTCCGCCTGTGGTACCTCCACACTGCTGCCACCTGGACATTTTTGATAAATTGAACAGGTAAATAATGCAGGTACCCACATCTGCATGTTCAGCCCGTACACACGTTATCTGCCCCTGTAAATTGAATATTGTTGATAAGGTGAATTGAATTTTCTGCGCACATTGACACTTACATAGAGTCGGTGATGAGAATATGAGCTCTGCCATAGAATCATATGTATATTGTAATCTCTTCCGTTGGGATTTTTTTTTTCATATTATAATTCCTCTTTTACTTGTTTTCCTTATCATACTGCTTATCATTTTATTATTTAAAAAATTCTAACCCTGCACATTTCCGTCAGCTGTAAGCGGCTTATTTACACCGCTATGTTTCTGCATTTTTATTACATATTAATAATTACCACACATTATCAAATACTACTACAACCACCAGGCTTCTCCTCAGCGCGTAGCAAAGTCTCAATTTAATCTAAGTTGTTCAACTTCTAATTTTCAGACACTGACCTTTTAAATTGTATTGTCACATAATAAAAACCCCGCTATGTATGGATGAGTTGCTGCTGAGGTGTCAAGTCCTCCGTCTGATTCCTCATCCAGCTCATTAACGTGACGCTGCAGCGGTAAATACATCTGGCTGAGAAGCAAGGGCTCATCTCTGCAGTGTTTAATGCCCGCTTTTATATTCTGGGCATGACGTCTCCGCTGCAGCTGTTTAACAATGTGCACATGTCCCATCTCCTGCTACATGATCAATACACTTAGCCGTTGCTCACAAGTTGATAAACTCATCCTCCTCAGTGTCATTATCAGTGAAAGTGCTGATCATCCGAGCCAGTCCTCAGTAGCTTCTTTGGGGACAATTTATGATATCACTATAGAATCAAACCGCCGCGCTGAAATCTGTGACCTTTATAGGAATTATACACAGCTGATGTAATTGTCTAACCTACCACCAAGCGTTTCATCTCCCATCCATTTAAAAGACAGTGCTCTGTAATTGGCAAAGTATAGCAAGAGAAGTGAGTTCAGATTGAATATATGAATACATGTAGTAGCCAAACACAGCAAAAAACCAAAACCTGAAAACGTCCTCCAATGAGTAAGTGCTGCATCACCTTGCAAAATCATTCTACAATAGTGCTGTTGCTTTATTGTTTAGCTTGAGAACTAAAACACATTATGACCGGCTTAATTCTGCCCTTAGTCTTGTGGCAGGAAAAGTGTCATTAGTTCTGCTAAAATGACTCAACACAACATGTTTAGTTTTAACCATTAATGACCTCCAGCACTCTTGTCTTTTTATTGCCCCACAAAACTTTGTAGGTCAGCAGTCGATTTAAGGCTTAAGCAGGATGATT